TCTTTCTTTTTCCTGAGGAGACTGGTGAGGCTCCGCCTCCCTTGCCTCTAGTGACTGCACGTCCCTGGGTCACGCCACTCCTTATCCTTGGCATTTCTTCGATCAATGCTGATATCTCTAGTGTAAACATATGAACAATAAAATTGTTGCCCCTGCCCCAGTAGAAAAAAAATCTTGCATATTTCTCTGGTTGTTTTCGCACACAAAATATGTTATTAGATATAATTTAAGATTCAAATTTGCAATGAAAATCTTTTCTCCCTTTAGTTTATCCATCGGGATCTAGCAGCAAGGAACATTTTGGTTGGAGAAAATTATGTTGCAAAAATAGCCGATTTTGGTTTATCTAGAGGTCAAGAAGTTTATGTTAAAAAGACCATGGTAAGGAAAGAAGAACATTTTCATCATATCTTTCATACAGAAGGGTATAGTCTGTCTCAATGTTATTTTAAAAAATGAAAATTGTCTTTAGAACTTAAAGTCTTTGCTAAAACTTCCTAGATTAAATCTATATCTGATCAAAATTATCCAGGCTAGAAAGTTAGAATTCGCCCCTGGAATTATTGAGTCAACTGGCTTTGAATCCTCCCGTCTTTCACACATTTCTTTCATTATTTTTCTTGCAAATAATACCTGTTCAGGAAGGAGCAGAGAAGAATGGAAGCAGTATTGTTCATAAGACTAGATTTCTCTTGTTTGGAATTGTATTGGTACCATAAGAAAGTTAGATATTAGTCCATTTTTCCTATTGAGAATTTAGATAACATGATGTTTTATAGGCACTTAAAGGACAAAGATGAAGAGTTTATAATAATTAACTTTATACAGATGTGAAAATTAGGTACAAAGAAAAGTGCAGGTGTCAAAAAAAGTCAACATGATAGTCATAATGGCACAGTCAATGCTCTCTGCCCCTTTTTCTACCTGTGACACACATCTATAGTGGGACCTTGGATGGCTTTTGCCACTTATTCTGTGGTGCCCGACAAGTTTTATAAATGATACTGTAACTGCACACCTGGATCCAATTTACAATGGGAAAGAGATAAGATCCTCATTATGGAGTTGTTTTTAACCATGAATATGCAGATTAAAAATGGCATGAATGAATAAAATAAGTAGTGTGCATACAACAGATATTCCCTCTTTTAAAAAGGCTAAGGAAACCATTCTAGTTTTCCCGCCCTTTGCTTATTTAAGAAAAAAGAAAAAAAACAATATAATAAAAACAGTACAATAAAATTATATATTATATAGGCTTATCATTCATGTGTATAAAATCATACACAACAGTTGCAAAAAGGATGACTGTATTTCATTGCTATTATCTATACTGATCTATGTCTGTAATAATTGTAATTTTCAAGCAATATCAAGTCTTCAATCAAAGTTATTTTTCCAATGTTGAAGGATTGTCCTCTTAGCTGTAAGATGGGCACAGATAATGCATTTTTGTTATGCAGACATCAGTTTCCCTGTAACATAAATATAGTTTGAAAGAATTTGTAGATGCCTAGTAAACTGTTCTTGTTAATTGATCCTGTGCTTAAGGGAACACCTATTATATAGCATGTTAATTTTGTTGTTCTAGGGAAGACTTCCAGTGCGATGGATGGCAATTGAATCTTTAAACTACAGCGTGTATACCTCCAACAGTGATGTGTGAGTTTCTCTGTTTAGATCATTTTTATATTTCTTTATTCAAGGTAGAAAACTTGGAGAAAATGTATAATGGATTCATTAAGAAACAAACTTGGACCCAGGTTCAAATCTCCATTTGGCCTTTCAATTCATTGTGTGATTTGGAGGGAGGGAGATCCGTTTCCTATGAATATTGTTTTCAACTTAGTTATGTCCACAGAGGGAATCAAAATAATCAAAGAAGGTGGTGTGATCAAAGCTCTGCCTCCTTGTACATGCTTGTGAGAGAAAGAATAAACAAATGAGGAAAAAAAGGAAGATTACATCTGATAATTTTGCTTCTATATCAATACATTTTTATAATACACATTTCTTCCAAGGAAATCAATGCTAAGCTATTATTTTCTTTTGTCTTATTTGCAGTTGGTCATATGGCGTGCTGTTATGGGAAATAGTTAGCTTGGGTAAGTTTCCTTACCCTCACCCTTTTCCTAGAATTTTTATTTTGGTAAAGAACATAAAATCATAGGCTGGGTATAGTCAGTCCTTTAAGCCAGTGTTTTTCAACCACTGTGCCGCGGCACACTAGTGTGCCGTGCCATAGTGTAAGGTGTGCCGTGGGAAAAACACTTTATATATAGTCAATAT